CGGGGTTACCGTGCCCGAGCGAGAGAAGCGGTGTCCGGCTCCCCCGGTAGCCGAGTGCAGTGTTAGCCACCTTGCTTCCAAAAGCTAGAGTAAGTCATGGACATCGCAGTGCCTGGAAAATGATTATTACATTATTCCATGGGCGTTCAGCCCATGATTCCTTCTAAACATGAACCACGGCTCATACAGCGTTTTCTAAAAAACTGTATTATTGTGCAAGCGGTGAAACAGATTTTGAGTACACATAGGGTGGAAATTGGTCGTAAAGCACAAGAAGCCTTGGAACACAGAAAGCCCTTCTTGGGTGTTGGTATCAGTGGCATGGCAAGGGTAGCCCACAATTCCCTGCCCTCCCGTGAGTAGCTCATCCCAGCTACTCATGATGCAAGGCACTGTCCTGCTCAGCACTGAAGATACAGGAACCTGCTCGTGCAGTCAGGGTGTGCCTTTGGGACCTYACCAAGGACAAGAAGACATGACTTCAGCAGAACTTAGATGCCAGGCATTGTTCATGCACCTCACATGTCAGAACCACCAGCTGAAGTTCACCAGCAACTTTTGGAGCTGTGATAGGAAYTCTGGTCTTTTCCCATGGTTACCTGCGCCAATAATGCAGCAGGAATGGAACAGGAATTGAAAATTTGGARAATGGAACACAGTGCTGGGGACCCAATACCCACATAACACATTTTAGGGCTTTTCCTTTGAACTGCTGTTCACCTCATCCCTGCACAGCGTCCCAGTATCTGAGCTCTGCTTCCTCGTGCCACAGCCTCAGCCACTAAGCTGGAGAGCCACGCTCACTCTGCAGCTGCTGCTCTGACCCAAACACTGCAGCATTTCACTCCTGAGTAAGAAACTTCAGCTGGAGAAACAGCCCTCATGCAGAATGCTCCCCGTTCAGGTGCTCAGTGCAGCACGGTTGTACCCTCTGGGGCTGAGGAAGAACGTAGGGCAGCACGGTTGTACCCTCTGGGGCTGAGGAAGAACCTCTTATTCTGGGTCCTCCAGATGCACTTTTCTCTCCCACACACTCTTCAGGGCAGCTGGGCAAATTCCACTGGGTCTTTCCTGCCTGAGCATTTGGTGACAGTGCCAAAAGTGGGGGTAGAACACACTGCAGGGGCATTTGAATACTCATTAGTCRTTTCGAAAGAGGTGATATATACTCTGATTTGAAAGGAATTGAAGTTAAACAGGAGTTTTGCTGTAATTTTTTCTGGAATTGTAACACTAGTTATATGGACTAGTTGAGCTCTAGTTCAAAAACTAAAAGATGGTAAATTTCTTAAAACATTGGAACTCAGGGCAAAGGCAACAAACAAGTGAAAACTCAGGGGGCAGGAGTGAGTAGGATATTGATCTGTAGGATGTTGTCATTATTGGCTGGCGTTAGAAAGCTTGGATTCACTCAAAGGCTTTGCTACGGGGACCTGACATTGCATTTCTGTTGTTAGTTAGTTTAGTGTGACTTTCTGAAAACTGCCATCTAAAATGTATCATAATCTGTGTCCTCAGTAGGCACTGGGGCAGTGCTTTTCATGAAAACAGTTTGTCATTTTGGTGCTTTCCATTATGAGATAATGTGAAGAAGTCAAGGTGTAAATACTAACCATTAGATTCTGTTGTTAAATCACCATTTGAGTGCTTTGAAAATTAGTGTGGAGCCTCATATTGGACTCCCAGTGTCAGAAATGTCACACTCTAGAATAATGACAGTTGCCAGCAGGCAGCACAGCAATATAATTTTGACTACAAAATATGACACTAATACTATTTAAACACGGTGCAGAATGCTACAGGGTGAGAAAATCGATTTATCTTTGCTRTCAAAAGCAAATTTTAGTCTCTGGTCAGGACAATATATTTCTGTGTTCAGGAAAGTTAAGATTCTTTGGTTTATTTTATAAGACTTTTTGAATGAAAATACTGATTTTTCTTCCAAGTTGAAGCTGCTAAAATTGATTGCCTGTTGATGTTGCAACTGTCCTTACAGAGGCTTAGTAAACAGGCAAGTCAAACCAAAACCAGAGGTCCATCGCAAGCAAAACTACAGATGTAGTTTCATTTTTTTTAAGCCAAACTCATAAAAGATAGTAAAACACAAAGTTCAGGACAGCGAAGTCTTTTCCAGATCACAAGATTTTTCATGGTTCATCACATGGCTYTTCCGTGTGGATTGAACCCTTATTCTACATTTCAAAAGAAACTTTCAGACAAGGAAATGAATGGAGATGAAGCACAGTTAATTCAGGAGCTATACGATCCAGGTTTAGAGCTGGGTGTGTTGTGTTTATCCATGTATTTTCATATATAGTTTCATGTGCATTCATTTCATACCTGTTTTTCCCCCCACAGAGAGTGAAATATGCCTAAAAAAAAGACTGGTGCTCGTAAGAAAGCTGAGAACCGTCGGGAACGTGAAAAGCAGATAAGGGCTTCAAGAGCCAACATAGACTTGGCCAAACATCCTTGTAATGCTTCAATGGTAAATTAACCTAAAATATTCTGTATTAAAATATCTAATTTTCAATTGTGAAAACATATTGAAAATACCTTGACTGCATTTAATGCCACTAGAATGCCATTCTTCCTAGTATCCTTCTTTTATAATTAAGGTTATGTTTGCACCAGACAGAACATTGAATGAAAGGTTTGGATCCTAATCATAACTCCCTGTTGAGGTCTGTAAATTTTATGTATTTTACCTAGAATGAAAATAATTACCAGTGTTTCATTTCTTCTYTTTAGGAATGTGATAAGTGCCAAAGGTAAGAATTTTTACCCTTCTAAAACCAGTCGTTTAGTATTTGTTTAAAACATTTTACGGGTCTTTTTTTAATGCTTTCTTTTAAAGCTTAATGCTTTATTTTTGTTTTTTCCCCTCCATGTGCCTAGACGACAGAAGAATAGAGCTTTTTGTTACTTCTGTAATTCTGTTCAGAAACTGCCCATTTGTGCACAATGTGGTGAGTAGAAATAATGAATGAAAACAAACTGTCCTCACTCCTCTTTGTGGTGTTAAACTCTCAGTACCTGTGTTACAGTAGCTTTATCTGAAAATACCTCTTGGTGTGATGCAGGTTCTTCCAAATCTGCTGTGACTATCCTTCTTGAGAAAGGATCAGTGTGTATGCCTCTAACTCCCCAGAGATTTGCAAGTCTGGATCATGGGCTTGTCTTCTTTGGAAAAAAACTTGTCTCACTTTCTTTTAGSTTTGAGAAATCTGACTGACTGTTTTCTAGATTGACCATGTGGAGCATTGTTTCATAACAGCAGCAAAAYTAAAAATGCTCTGAYTGCTACCAAGGGCACCAATAAATASTGCTTTTTTAGGGATTATAYAATTTCTCAGTTCAATATCARTTAAAGCAACAATRTATCAYTCACCTTACATGGGGTTGTAATGTAATATGCAACTCTTGTTATTTGTATGGGCTGGAGGGCTGATGCTTTGAAATTAGAAGAGAAGGACTTCTAGTGACAGAATGCTCTGAATCAGGCCAAAACGCCCTTTGTTATTAAACATCTGCTTGCTTGCAGGAGATGTTGATACTCATTTCATACTGAGGTAAATTTTGTTGTTCTACTGTGTCAACACATCATTGCAGATTTTCAATTTGTCATTAAGCAGTTTGGCTGTTTTGGAGGTTAACTGTCAGAGCTGCCGATTATGTGCAGCTTCCAGTGCCTTTGTTGTGCCTGCAGATACTGAGCATTTTGGGAAGCCAGGCTGTTAGTGTACAGTTGCACTGTGTCACCCTTCATAAGCCTTCCTTCTGTCACCAGCAGTGAAGTACTAAAAGCATGCTATCTTATGGTTCATATCTGTGTGTTGAATTTATCTTAATCTGGAGTATGTTTCTAGAGGAAAAATACTCCTATCAACAGCCATATTATATTGAGACCCAGGGTTTTCCAAGCAAAGATCATTAGAGCTGTTTGATGCTTAATCAAGCCTTGGGGACTATAAACCAGCAGCCTCTTTCTTAGAGAATCCCCTGAGGGATGGGAGCAAGTTAGCTCTGTTTCAGTGTTCCATACCCAATAATGCCCCTCACCTCTCACCCAGCTCAGYTCAACTGCTTTTCTGGTGAGAGAACGAGCAGCAGTTTTAAACACAACTTTTTATGGGGTCATTACTGAACTTMGACCTTAGTTTCGTTCTTTGGTTTGTTTTGACATTTGAAATTTTTGCCAGTGCCTCAAAACACAGAGCAAGACCAGCACATTGCCTTATTGTCTCARTCCAAGGGCAAGAGGTTTGACTGAAAACAAACAATAATTAATTTAACCTAAGGGAGGTGTGAAGGTGGGCTGCAGAATGCAGCAATAATGCAGACATCTTTGTTTGCGTTATTTTTACCTAGATTTACAATTAAGCACAGGCATTTAGTTGAAATGCTGTTCTTACATGAACATGCATTCTACTTTTATTTTTTTGTTTGTTTTGTCTACTTCTTCTAGTTTGTTTTTATATAGTTTTTTTTATGGTTGCTTGCCTTTTTATTTTAAACAGGAAAAACCAAATGCATGATGAAGTCTTCAGACTGTGTTATAAAACATGCTGGTGTGTACAGTACTGGACTAGCTATGGTGGTATGTATACAAAATTACAGACTTTTTTTTCAGTATGAGAATATTCTGTGGAAATCTTCCTGAAAAAAATAAAAGATTCATGGAATGATAGCATGTACCATGCCAAGTTTGTTTTTTATCCCTTTCTTTCATAGTAAACTGATTTTTTCTCTATACTGAAAACACCAAATTGTTCATTTTTAGATTCAGCTCCTGCAGACTCCCAACACATGTTATGGATTCTAATGGATCTGTGTTGGTGGCAGGCCCTAAGCACATGCATGAGCAGCACTGGAGCTGACACGCCCCACAGACAATTCTCATCCTTCATTAAAATGTAGGATCATTCTGCAGAAACCTGCAGACTGTTATTGTTGTCTTAGTACTGCAGAGATCATCAGTATCACAAAGAGGAATCTGTTCCATTAGGGGGGAATTTTAATGAACAAAACCYCTCATTTGGGCTCTTAATTAGAGATAATCATAGCTTCAGGCCTTTGAAGTTTTGTTCTTAGAMGGACAAATTGGTGTGGGCATTTTGGAAAGCAAGGTGTGACATGTCACAGCCGCTGGATTAAGTGGACTAAACCTCTGTCCTGTTTCTGCCTGCAGCTGGCAGTCAGCTGTTCCCAGTAACACTGCTGGCCTTTACACTCTGGCATTCYTGAGCTCATCCCATGCATTCACTGATGCAAGAGTGAATGCATCAGCAGTTAAATTTGGACTCATCGTTGCTTTCTTAGCTTTGTGTGCAGGTAATGCACATGGTAATTAGTTGCCTATGGGCTGAAAAAGCTTCTTGAATGCTATAGATAAGGATAGCTCATGTGGAGATCTTGTACTTYAATGAAAATGTGAGTTAAACAGTCTAGCTTCCAATGAGTTATCTGATCTTTGCTCTCTGCAGAACTTGAGCTCTAATATAGCAGAGTTTAAAGTCCGAGTGATTTGAGCTGTAAGASTCTAGAGGCATTTTTCAGGTCTTTGACATTACTTTTTTGACAGAACATTGTTATCATTTATGGATCTCCGGTTTCAGCTGAAGGACACAAGGTTCCATTTGCCAAATGTGTGATAAGAAATGTAAAATGTTTTGCATCATACTTAATCCTGCAGAAATTAATAACAAATGTGAACCATGRAGCAGCTTGGTTGGAACACAGATTAGGTTCAATACTCTCTCACTCAACCAAAATGAGCCTTCTGAGAGAAGGGATACTAGGATGCATTGAGGATTATGGGATAAGTCTCTCTCTAGGCTTTGTAGAACTCCTGAGATGATATCTTGCTTTGCTTGCAGGGTGCAATCTGTGATTTTTGTGAAGCCTGGGTGTGTCAYGGGAGGAAGTGTCTCAGCACCCACGCATGCATGTGCCCTCTGGCAGATGCAGAATGCATTGAGTGTGAAAGAAGTGTCTGGGATCATGGTAGGTTGCTGACATTTAAAAACAAGAAAATGTAAATTACACTTTTTCTTCACATTGCTAAAGTTACTGCGCCTATATTCTTAACATAGCCTTTTTTGTCTTCACTGATTARTCTTTGCAGTATGCTTGTTCAAAGCTAGGATTCTCCCTCTTTTAAAAACAGTGGGGAAAGTAAATGACCTGCTCAAGAACATACAGTGCTCAACTTAGGATGATTATGTAATCTAAATTATAATGGTTCTGTCTTAATTATTCACATAATTAAGCACTGCATCAAATTGCCAACACTGTTTTCTGCCATTCTCACTCTGTTCTGCGTTAACACAGGTATTTGGATTCGCAATGGCTTAGGAAACCGTACTGATCTCCATTTGTGGAATCCTTTAAAATGTCTATTTCAAGTGTGTAGTAGAGGTGAGGGCTTTAGAGGGAAGAATACTGGATGAGACTGTGATCTGATTTAAGAAAAACAGCTAATGCTAGTGGAATTAAAATGAAGAAAAACATTAAAAGTAATACTTGCTTTTTAGTTATGCTGKCTTATATTGTAGGATATGAGGTATTTTTCAGTGTAAAAATGKATGGCAGTGTCTAATTTAGGACTTCATTGAAGCACAGTTGAAGGGAGAACTGGTCTTCAGTCAAAGCTACCACCTARATTGTTTGCAGAGCAGGACTTGATGGCTGTGCTCATTGCTGATTATTTTGCCTTGGTAAATCTTTCAGGAGGAAGAATATTCGCCTGCTCTTTTTGCCATGATTTCCTCTGTGAAGATGATCAGTTTGAACATCAAGCCAGCTGCCAAGTTCTGGAAGCAGAGACATTTAAATGTAAGTTTGTTATTCTTAGTTCCTTTCACCACAGCCAACAGACTCTCCACTTGTCTCCTTTGTGCTCCAGAATACCCTCCATCACCTTTCCCAAGTAGATTTTGCCACTGCTTGAGGGAAGGGTCTGTTTCCTGTGGGCTGGCTTTTGGGATCCAGTTATCCAGACTAGAACTTTCTTCTCTTTCATGGGCTTTCGTCCATGCCAGAGCATACATGGCAGTTTTTTTCCTGCCAGGCTCTTTCAGGCCTCCCATGGAAAACTGCCTTTGCAGGAGCCAGCGCTCTCCAAAGTTGGCAGTGGCCAGGACTGCAGCAAAACAACTAGAGCTGCCAATGCTGCTTTTTCACTCCACAAAACTCTGCAGGTAGTAGGAGCTTCTTTTCCACTGTTTTGACCCAATGATGAGCTAGTTTTAGATACCTGTTCCTCCTGGAAAGAGCTGCCCTAAACAGTGCCACCTGTCTTGGTCTGGCTGAACTTCCCCAAGTTGCTGTGGAAGGCCTGTWTGCTGGTGAAAGGTTAGCAGCTGCTCATGTCCTGAGGAAGGCTGTGACTCAGCAGCYACCATCTGACTCAGTGAGACAGAGTGAGCACAGAAGGAAGTGACAAAAATAGTCCRGAACATGATTTCAGTGTTTGTTTCCTCACTGACAGTGGACTGTGGACGTGTGTGTCAGTAATGTATCAAATGTTCATACATGCCCACTKTTTCTGAGTAAAGAGCTGGTAGCTGAAGCCTTTTTGTCCTTTTGAACTTTGATTATTTGTGTGGACAAAACTGAAACTTGTAGTTTTGTAAGAGGACGTAGTGGTCATGCCTGAGTTTGCTCACCCACCACTGATCTCTGGCTGAAACAGGGAAGCTTCAAGGGAAATTAAAAACCAATGACAAAACAAATCTACAAGCCAAGACTCTGCATGTTTGAAATAACTAAATTTTTGTAGCAGTATTTTTTGTCTACCATTAACTACAGTTTGGTTTATCACAAGACAAGCATTCATTTGTCTTTCCTAAAACTTGTATGCTTGTATTTTGACTCTTGTAAGATTTTCAGTCTTACTGAAATTTAATCTTTATCATAAGGCTGTTCTCCTTTGAACTGGCTAATCTCTTGTCCTAATTGATTTCTCCTGGTCCAGAATATTAGTGATTTCAATAGTCAGCGTCTTTAGACATCTCTTATCTCCTTTTCATCTCCCATACTTTTTTTCCCTGCCAGCTATTTTTAAAGCTTTGCTTAGCTTCCCTTGATGTATTCTGCCAGAATATCTTCCTGCATAGCAATATTGAAACAGCAACAGCTGTTCCACAAGAATGTTTTCTCAATGATTGTTGGAAGCTTTTAATTCAAAGATGTGATATCACACCCTGAATAGAGAGTGAGTTTTTTTGAGGGTTTTCACTGTGTTCAGTGGCACAGCACAGACTTGGTAGAGACAGGATTTTTGTCGGTGTGTGGTAACAAAATTATAAAACCTGTACTTTTACAGAGTACATGAACTTTAAACATGGTCATGCAATTGTAGTCTAAATCTGTTGTAGCTGTGAAAAGGGTAATGTTGCAGGGTGCTGTTGTTTTCCATCGCTATCTGAGAGGGGTTTTTTGCAGTGCAGATAGTCAAGAAATTATGAATATATTTGCATCAGCATTTCCAGTTTTATCTTTAAACCCATGACACAGCTCTAAATCCTGTGTCTCTCCTTCTCATGTGGAAAACTCATGATTTACTTCAGATTCAAAAACTTCGCTTTTACAGGGATTAGGCAAGATGGAAGGGAATGAATACTTGCACAGAAACTGGTAAAATACATTACTGCTTCTTTAGGAGTAACTATTTACCCATACTCATGTTACTGCCAACTTGACTGTTTGCCTTACCCCCCCCTAGTGGAATAAAGAAAATAATGTGAAGCTCCAGATGTGTTAAATTTTGGGCATTGATTCTCCACTTTATGGCTCATGTGCCAGATCCCAGACCCTCCTGAAGTTTTATGCTGTGCAGTCAATTACATTTCCAGAAGATATGACAGAAAATGCGGAATGAAACAACTTCTCTAGGTTTGGAAGTTTGCAAGTTTTAAGTGTTCTTATATCTCTAGCACTCCTTCGTTTAATGTTGTTAGAAAAGGAAAAGCAAGATGAAACCTTAAAACCAAATTGATTCTGAAACTTCAGGTTTTAAAAGTTTGGAAGCTCAAGAAAGAAATGTTTTTTCCCTCTTGAAATGTCATGTTTTTGTGTCAAAATGAGGTTTAGAGTTGAAAAAATCTAGTAGAATGGTACTGTCAGGTAAAATGACTGATTCACATTGCCAGAGTGCAGTTGTGTCAGGGAATTAGAAATAAATGCCTCAATTATGGTRTAACATACTTTGACAAGGTTTTAAAAATATGAAAGGTCTGCAGTTTCCAATTACTGAATTTGCCATATTGATTTTCTCCAACAGGTGTCTCCTGTAACAGGCTGGGACAGCATTCCTGCCTGCGTTGTAAGGTAAAAAGTAAAAAGAGTTGTAAGGAGCTGATTTGAGGTTCCTTCTTCTTGGCCTCCAAGGCTGGCGTCAGACCTTGTCATGTCTTCCTCTCCATGGTTAAGAAGAAATTCATACTTTTGTATTAGTTTCTGTAGCCTGGGGGTAGACCTGGGGAGGACAAGTTTATCTGTGCTCACCTGATAACTACAAGACAGTGTGGGGTGATCTTTCTCTAGTCCTTTTAGTTTACGTGCCTGCACCATGTTGGGGCTTTAACAAAAACCAAAACAACAAAATTAATCCTTGGTCTGGAACAGAATCCAAGGCTTTGGAATATGCTTTGACCMAGTGTGGAACTGTGACAATTAGAAAAGTTATTCTTTTAAACAGTCAGGTGATGATCTGACCAGAAATTGCTGCATCCAAAGGAATAATCCCCACAGCTAATTCAGTTTTACACGTGTCTCGGTTTGAGACAGTGTTTTCAGAGAGAAATGTTACAGGATAAATGTTTCCTCTTAAGTGAAAAAGTTTGATAATTTTTTCCCAACAATATGAAACAGATGTTTGGGCGAATGTGAAGAGAAAAATAATTTATTCAGAAAACAAGGTGCCCACAGGACACAGATTTAAAAAAAAAAAAAAAAGTAACTGTTAGATATTTAAAAGTCCAGGAACGCACGCTGCCTTCTCCCCCCACAGCCCCTTGGCACGTGGTGCATTGAAAGATGGCATGGCTCTTGTCCCAGGAAAAGAAAGAAACAAAAGAAAAGTCCACATGGCCYCTTGGGTAACAGTGGGAACCTGGTGGCAGTCCTCTCCTCACTGTGGATGAACCAGAGGGCTCGGTGTGCCTTTCTGTCACCGGTTTGGCTCCTCCAGAGTCTGGGATGAGACAGAGCAGCACCCGCGGCTTGTCCCTGCAGGCCACTGCTGATCAGCGTTTGCCTCTCGGTTCTTGGACCGAAGCCCTGCTGAGCTGCTCCAGAGGAAAATCACAGGAGCTGTAGAAGGGGTGTCAGTCCAGGGAGAGCTGTTTGCCCAAGCTAACAAACCCAACCTAGCTGAGTGGCAACAACGTAACTCCTCTGCACACATGAGCTGAACTTCCTCTGCAGCTGAGCTCCCAACCACCACTGGCTGTGCGCAGTCCCGGCTTTTAAGCGCCCCGCGCTGCCTTCCCAGCCGCCCCTGCCCCTTCTTCCAGGTCACATTTAAAGGCACAAATGCATTTTGGGCATACAAGCAGATGGAATATAGGAATAGAGTGTTATCATAAAATCAACCCAAGACAACACGTGACCAGGCTATTTGTTGACATCAGGTTTATGGTTTTATGCACTCAGAAGTAATTTTGTATAAAAAGTTCCACCTGTTTTATCATCAGCATTGCCCAGATTTCTCCAGGTGCTGGTTCATTGCCTGCTCTTACTCTTCTTACCATCCATATGTTTTCACTCCTCTCTCCCATGGCATTGATGGCCTATTCCAAATTGTTCTTATTTCCAGGTATTTTCACTGCACCCTGGTGCTCACTGTGTGAACTTCCCAACTCTAATTTTTGCCTGCAGGCCCCTGTATAGTTACATTCTGGCATATATCTCRTTATGTTTATTTGAGCTTGTCAGCCCAAACCCAAGTTTGCCAGGCTCCTTGTGGGCAGCACTGCAGCCCAGCCCTGGAATATGTTACTTTCTCTGCTTGTTTATTGGCACTTTATCCAGCCTCTTCCCCAGAAACCCTGGAACCACATTGAACACAGAGTGCCTGCTCTGTGCACAGACCCCATGTCCATTGCAGAGAGACCTCATTAAAATTTAATCCCAGCCGTAAACCCTTACTGCTGTTAAACACTGTCTGTGCTTGCTGCTTGTTGAGGAATGTGCTTCTATGATTAAAATATTTGACCTTTATATTCTCCCTTCAACACACAGGCTTGTTTCTGTGATGATCATGTGCGAAGTAAGGTWTTCAAGCAGGAAAAAGGAAAAAAGCCTCCTTGCCCTAAATGTGGCCATGAAACTCAGCAGACAAAGGATCTGAGCATGTCAAGTAAGCCAGTTTCTTTAGCTAACAAGCCAAGTGTTTTGCACAGCTTTGCTTCATTTGTTTTGAGAAAAACRTTGTGTTTCTGAGTTCTGGAATTAAGCAATCTCATTCTTAACCATTAATTGTTTCCAATGGAGTGAAAGCTTTTGTTTAGTTTGAGATTTTAGTTGTGGAAAAAAAATGAAAAATAATTGCCATTTAAACTACTCTTCAAGTTTTGCAAAAAAGGTAGAAATGGTTGGATTGGTGGAAACATGATGGTTTTTCTCTGCCTGCAGCACGCTCTTTAAAGTTYGGCCGACAGACTGGAGGAGAAGATGCAGATGGAGCTTCTGGTTATGATGCCTACTGGAAAAACCTTTCTTCCAGCAAGACTGGGGATGCAGGTGACCATGAGGATGAATGTGATGAGTACGAAGCAGAAGATGATGATGAAGATGAAAATGATGAGCGAGGGAAGGATTCAGATTCTGAGGCCACAGATGTATTCAGCAATTTGAATTTAGGAAGGACCTATGCTAGTGGGTATGCACATTATGAGGAAGCAGAACATTAAACTTAGTATGCTGGTAAGCTAAAAACACTTGGAAGGAGCCAAGCAATGCTTCACTGAGTTGTGTACAYGCCAGTAGGATAGCTCTATCAGGTACTTCCATATGTAAGTTAGAGAGTAAAGAGTGTGGGACTTCTGCAGTAACTCCAAGGGAGGTTTTTCTTGTATATGAACTGATGTTGGGTTTGGGACTAGGGGAGAAAATCAGAATATTTTTATTYCCCTAAACAACAGAATGGTTTTGTCCTTGAGTTACTGAGTATAATGGTTCAATGCCATTTTCTSCTCAACACAGGAATGTGGGAAAGCTGTAGAACTTGCTTCCATTTGCTCATCGGAAATTAAGTTATTTTTTACAATAATTTTGTTAACTGATTTCATACATTAATGCAGTGGTGGGTTGGTGACTGCATTTTTKTTTGGTCTGCACAATAAAAGTCAACTGCGTTCTCTAATGAACTGTCATAAATATTGATCTCCCATGAATAGTTGGAAAGCAGGTTTTATACAAAGTGTAAATTGACACTGAAATAACTTCCTTGTTTATGTCAGTATGGTGGATCAATGTAGTTCTCTGTGTATTTACACATCACCTTTTCAGCATTTTTAGTATTAGATATTAATTGGTGACGCTATATACAGTCATTATAAGAGCACTCCAGATAATCAAGACTTTTATGGAAATAAAATGTTGGTCTCATCTCTGCCACAAGAATCAATAAGGCAATTTCCCATTAGATCAAAAGGARACTGGTTTCTTCAATGCCTAGCCTTCAGCTCTTTGCCTTGCATATGATTAAAAAAAAACATTAGCTAGGAAACAACTCTGTATATGAACTGAGAACGTGAGGAAACATGGGGGGAGTTCAAAWTCCTGGGTCCAAATAGTGTTGTGTGCAAGCCTGCCAGTACAAGGCAAGTGATCAGCACCTCTGAGTTGAGGAGGTGACACTTGCTGAAGTGCTTGCAGTGATTCTGATTTGAAAATCACCATGTTAATTATCCATCTACAGATCTAATTGATGGCATTTATTTTCCACTGTAGGGGAATGTTTTACAGCAGACAGATCACAATACAAGGGCAGCCACCTAAAGGGTTGCTGCAGCTTTCTAAAATGCCATGTTTTAATGCAAGAGAGCCCTTTCTTGTTATCTGTCAAATACCTGAACTGATTGTAGTATTACCTGCTTTTGTGGTGCTTTCTCTACTCTTTAACAACTAAAGGTCATGTGTTGGCAGAGCATGCCCTATTGAGAATCATTTCTAATGATTTTAGGATTGCCAGATAAACATTTCCCAGCAAAACAGGGTTGGAGAAATTGACCTTGTTACTTCCCTCCTAAAASCATCTCCTACCAAAAGCATGACATACAAGAGTTGGGATTCCACCAGGACCAAAACAAATTGCCAAAGAGCACAACTTGATTATAGCAGCTGAGAGAGAAACTGTGTAGGAGAAAGAGGCACAACGGGTCAGTGCACACCTTCAGAACTGGAGAGGAAACAAATTATTGCACTGTCTGAAAKCCAAATCCCCTTCAAACACTGAAACATCCAATATCATGTACAAAGGCCTATCTTAAATAGTATACTTGAGAGGTGTCTAGATTAGCCTTTTGCATAACCAAACTTGATGTGAGGGAAGCAGGATGACTGCCARTTCAACACTGATTATTTATTTGTGAAATTGGCACCTGTGAGAGAATTTCTGCTCAGCTTCCTGTGGTCCAAAAAATTCCACGTTGAGTGCATCTGTGGCTGGTTGATTCCAGCAACAGAGCCAGTTTTTTAATCTTTGCTGATATTTCAAATCCAAAACCCTTATACATCAGTACCAAGTCCTATACAGAATTGAGGAAAGTACATGTGTTTCTGCATATATGTAAAATCATAGCTGCTTGTGTATCATTTATTAATATTATTATTTAACCACACAAAATTCCTCTTTAACGTTGTTGGCTCTTAAATTAGGTTTTTCCCCTCTGAAATCTGCTGCTGTCACTGGCTCTGCCAAAGGCTGCTGACATAACAGAATTAATCATCATAATCAGAGTAAAGAATTACTCATTTTCTCATTGAAGTGCCCTTGCACTGATCCTTGCTAGATCAATACTCCAGAGCTAATGTGTGTTCCTGTGGCACATGGGAAGTGAGGGCCACAGCAGTGCCTGCAGCAGATGCTTGAGCTACCTGCTGTAATTTAACAAGGTCATTTCTCAGTGGACATTTATTTGCTTTTCTTTTTGTGCTGCTGCACAGACCACTGAAAACGCCTGTGCTGTCAACCTGTCTGAAAATGGGGATCAGGAATTAGCCCTGCAGTGCTTGGCCTTCCAGGGGTCAAAACAAACAAGTTTAAGCTGCTTTAAAGTAATCTGGTGGRTTCAGGCTGGAACAGACAAACATGTCAATTTGTGGCAGCACAGGCRGTTCAGGATGCCATGTGTTGCATTTTCTCTGCTTATTCAGTGCACCTAAGACCTTGATRAAATCTTACACTTCAGGTTTTTTCACCTCTGTGATAACCATTAAAACAAAACTTAAGTAGGACTTGAATTAAAATTACGGCAACATTTATTGTGCCTGTAGAACCTGAAAAACAAGCTCTGGCCACCTCTGTAAGCACTTTCCTTGCATTTGTTTATTATGGTGACAGCACCAGCTCATTATGAATTCATTGGGTGCTCCTGTGGATTTAATGCATTTTCCTTTRTACTCTCGTGTAATTTAGCTCCTGTGATTGGGAGTCTTTTGATCAATCCAGTATTTCTGCTTTTTATTTTCAGAAAATTAATGGGAAGATTATTATAATGTACTGAGCAGCTGAAAAAGTAGTAGCAGGCATGTCACAGAGCACTAGAGGACAAACTTAGAAGTGCTCAGAATCCTGTTTGTTCAGGCAGAAAGATCCTAGTGTGTCTTACAAAACATGCATCTGTCCAAGTTCTGATCCTATTTCCACAGAACCCAATGGCAAAGTTCCCATTCGTGCAAGTTGGAACAATTCAGTAATCTTCAATACCTACAGTTCATCTTAAATGCCAGGAGGTGTTATGGACCAACAGGAGCATAACTAAGGTGGGGAAGATAAAGCAAAGCTTTTACATAAGGTTAATATCTTACATTACCATGAAAATATTTGTTCTAAATTTTAACAGTTCCACTGGAAAGTGTCTCAAGACTGAAAGATGAAGCTGTTTAGAGAGCAAGAGAGGAAGAGATAGGATTCTGCAAGATGCAGAAATGTAATTACTCATCTCCTGAAAGTCTTAATGTAATTACTAAATATTTGCTAAAAACTCAAAGTGCTTAGGACATAGACAAATTTTATCTCTTCATTGTTGGTACATAAGTAGAAAACACAGTAATTGACAAAATTACGGCCTGAATAGTCCAGTTGGCAGCAGCCCCCTGCACCTTGGACTCTCCATCTCCTACCCATGAGTAGGAGACTGAGCATATTTTATAACTAATGACATGCCTTTAYTAAGATTATCTGTGCTGTAATTGGCTACCACACATGAGAAATGTGAARCAGGGCTTAGTTTTTAGCTTCCATAAGCAGGAATACAAAATCAGCAAGACTGTCACAGATGTGGAGAATAATCYGTGGAAAAGCCACTGGTTTCCCTTTGCTAAACAAACAGTAGGTTCACAAGCCTGCATTTCAATGTGGAAGGGGAAAAAAATAAATTGCGTTTCCATGTCTCACCAAATTAAGCTATTACAGATAAGAAGGTTTACTGAGAAACAGCTGCAAAGTTTGAGAAAGCCTATTGTAGCTATACCTGCTCCTACTATTTTCTAACACTAAAGTGTGCTAAAATGTTTGCTGCATTCTCTTAAACCCTAATTCTGGAGCTAGTGATTCTCCCACAGTGTTCCCCAAACTTAACAGTGATTTGARATTCACTTTGGTTTCCTTCTGAAATGAGAAATACTGAGTGCCTCAGGGCCCAAGTAATGTTTTCACTTCATCTTGATGTTACATCACATCTGTTGTAGATTTTCACATTACAAAACCACTAAGTTTAAAAAAAAAAATTTTATTTGAATGTTAGAATTCCAAACCCCCACAATTTCTTTTAACAGGTAATACAATTTTACTGCAAGAGTTGCCTGTTGCTGTTCCTACTGTTTTATTTATGGCATAGAGAAAGAGGTTGATTATTTTGAAAATGAATCCCTGCTACTCAGGCACATAAACCCTTGGGATGGCTCCAGTGTGATTTAAATTCAGCGCCTTCTTYTGCTGGCACAGACAATGATGAGCCYCTTTGAGATTTTCCCACCATCAGGAGAGGGGTGCAGAGACCTCACCGTGGATGTCAGCACCAATTCACAGGGTGTGCCAGCTCAGAGTGGTAACAACTGAAACATGACCTTTTGCTGGACTGCTTTGGAAGCCTGCARAAACCCAAATGCATCCTGCCTGGAAAAACAACTACTGCAAAGCTCCATCCCATGAGAAGGTGTTTTCAGTCCGCTTCTTCCTCAGGAATAACAGAATGTATCCACAAGCTTGTACAGAATGCATTATTACCATCTTTACCTTATTTAAAAAAATAGTGATAATCTACTGAGCACAGATCTAAGTGAGAAAACGATGTAGGAAGTTGAATAAAGATGTTCCCTTATCTAGGGCTGAACAGCAGAGCYGTACTGAGCACTTTGAAGGAAGGGTATGCAGAGGACAACACCATATGCTCACAGTTGGCTTTTTCTGCACTCTCCTCTTAAGTCTGGCAGTGCAGGCCAAGAAAGCATTATGCAGAGCTTAACCYTGGGGTTTTTGTTTGCCAAAGCATTAACAGTTCCAGTGGAGCACYGTGCAATTCCTTACCAGGCATTTAGCATGTACAGAGGCTGCTGCCAGATTTGGAACGTAAGAATAATTCAGAAGTTAGATAATAAATTGCGTTCCTTCCACATTCTCCCCACTTTCTTCATGTAACATGCATTTCAAAGATACCCTCCTGACATTTACCTGCTAGTACTGCACAAGAACACTGCTGTGATCTACTGTCAGATCATTTCTGAGCAGACAGGGCCAACAAAAAACATAGCAGGTTCCATCTAAGCATATCATACCTTCAGAAAAACACCGCTCTTTTGTCAACAGTTCACAAAGTCATCAGCCAATTAGCAGCTTAACAAGCCTTTCCTGCAAGCAACATTTCTGGCCTTGGTTTAATTCAGCAAGTTTTAGTCAGCCAAGGGCAGACCTGTGCCCAACATCCTGCTGCTGCTGGAGCAATCCCGCCATTCCCTGGGCTCTGTCAGGACTGCTGCACCCAGYGTAGCCCCCCATGCCAGCACCAGAGGTCACTCCCAAAGGGACCCACTCACTGCCACAAGCTGTCCYGCTCCTCTCCTTGCCTCCAGCTGCACCTGACCATCACATTTCCCTGGCAGAGAAAGCCAAGCTGCCACTCACCCACAGGCCAAGCAGAGACTTTCCAAAGCTCCCCGGTGCCTCACACACTGCTGCTCCCCTTGCTGTAAGCTCTGTCCCTCCACACCCCTTTGGCAGGGCCCGTCTGACTGTGGGGCATGTGAGCGTGGCTCCTCTCCTCTGCTGGCCTCCAGCATTCCCACACTTGGCAATTCCTGCAGCCCTGGACTGTTTACTGTTGGATGAGCTGCTGTGGTCCCTCTGCACACTTGCAGATGCTGCATGAACAGGCACTGAGTCCTGCTGCATCTTCCTGCTGCTTAAGAAGATAAAATGTTGCAGCATAAAGTATAAATAACATTTGTCCTATTTAAGATATGACAGATCTCCTATGCTATGCTATTTTATTATATCTAAAATGAATTTGCAGATGATGATATATATTTTCTTCTGACCCTGAATGTTTTATTATTAAAATCCTAGCACTCTTGTTACAATGCCTCCATAATATATTAATATAACTATCTCAGCTTTTCAAAAACTAAAATATAACCTCATGGTCTTTTCTATGCTGTAATTTTTTCTTGGGTATTAAAAAAATTTATTACAGCTATATCAGATTATTAACACTGAAAATGAGCCAGAGTCCCTAAAGTGCCATTTAAAAATATCTGAAAGTCTTTGTCCTTTTGTAGATGTTTGGTTCTCAGATAATAACTTGCTTCCAGGTTTATAGAGAAAGTTAAGAGGTCTTCCCAGTTGCTCCACGGCTGCTCTCATAAGCTGCAGCCCAGCAGGAGAGCGTGCCCTGGGGTGACAGGCATTGCTGCAGCTGACAGAGAATTAGCGTCAGCCCAAGCAGTGATCTGACCCGTGAAGTTGCAGGACACGGTGTTGTTTCCARCTAAGCTCAGGTCCTTTGGTGAAACACCCTAAGGTGAGAACAAAAGCCACATGATCTGTCRTGTTCTTTACAAAGTCTAGTGTCTGCAGTTTGTTCTAATACATGGAATATTGCCAGACTGCATTACTAATAAGCCTGAGGGTTGTTTTGTTTTTTGTCTCTTTTAGTCCTTCAGCTCCCCAGGTGCTGAACAGTGCWCTGTGGGCTGTGGTCCTTTGCTCAGCATAATTTCTGCCCCTTTCTCTCCTGCCAAAGCCCTACTGCTGCCCACTCACCTTGAGGTTCACCTGAACTGCAGGAGCTGATGTCTARTCCAGTGCGCCATGACTGTGTTAGGATGGGCTGGCTGCCAGTGAAATGCAGCCTGTGGACTGTGGGAATGTGGTCCTTGGGCAACCTGCCACTTGTTCTGAGCCTGCAGGACCTAAGGGTCTG